TTTTTTTTTTTTTTTTTTTTTTTTTTTTTTTTTTTTTTTTTTTTTTTGACAGTAACTTTGATGTGCATATTTGTTTATTCTGTAACAAAATACTTAAAATACCAACTTTCTGCTGGTCTTTCTGTCAGATAGGTCTTCTATTTGGCTCTTGCCATTTTTATTTTTCACCTGTTCTCTGCACTGCCTGTTGTCCTTTACACACAGTGCATGCTTTAGGCAGAGCTGACCAATTAGATGGTTTCAAAGGTGAGCTACCAGAAGGCCGGTGCTTCCTCAAGTCTGGTAAGCTTAATACCAAAGGTGTAGTTAGTCTCAGCTAGATCTACCTCACCTTCTCCAATGTGAACTTGAAGGGCAGTGGGATGAGTGRGCATATGGCAGATGTTCCCGCTCAGAATGTCACAGGGCTGAGAAAAATTGCTCATAACCTCTTTGGTTTGGGCTTTGGGGAAAGGTGGGTTGTGGCAGGATGGCTTTCTGGCAAGAGTTATTTCCTCTAGAGAGTGGATGTCAACACTGTTAGGTAGGAGAGGTCATGTTAAACAAGAGGGYTTTCTTGTTTTCCTGGAAATGCTTATCAAGCATATGTGATACCYCAGAACTTTGATTTAGACCTTTTATGTAGCTGCTTCTCTGGTTTAGGCTCTCAGTTAGGCTTTCAGTCTTCCCTGAACATCTCTCTGCTGATGGTCTTTGTGTCTCTTGTACTATTAACTATTGGCTCTGCTCTGCTTTTTGGTTCTAATAAGAGCCAAGAAGGATCCACTTTTGATACAGCTTGTCTTTGTGCTTGAAATTCTTTTCCATTGCAGGAAAACACTTCATTTTACATATGAAGCTGCTGAGCACCAAAGGCTAAATGYTCATGTTTGCCCCAGCATTTCCCTCCCTCAGTGCACATTGTCTGAGGAACTGTTCTGTACATGGGTATTGATTCCCTGACCTCTCCCCTGCACACACTCCAAACACTTCAGCTTCAGGCTCGGAGCTCCTGCACATTTCCTTCAAAGTAACTGCAGAACGTGGCTCTGTTTAGTTAAGTAATTCGCACTGTCTAACTTTAGTGATACAGGATTTTAAATATTTTGGCTGCAGCTTTTCATATTAAGTYCTTGGAAACTGAAAGTAGAACTTTATTTTTTGAGTTTTATGGGCTCATTGTTGAATTCTTTTGTGCTCACTGGCTTGTGCAGTGTTTGAGAACTGAGGATCTTGGGTCTTAAATGCTGAAACATCCAATTTCAGTGGTTTATATGGTGTTAACTACTGATTTTCCTAAGCTGAAACAGTTGGGAAGAAATACATTGAAACCCAGATTATTTACCATCCTAGGGAATATTTGAATTAATTCTCAGTTTCCTAGTAAATTATAAATATTTTAGCTTCACATGTCTTCTGTGTTTTCCTTGTTTTAATGCTGGCAATTTCTTTCCAGGTCTCTCTGTGAGATTGTGGGGWTGTTTTATTTAGTGCAACCTCCAGAAACATACAGTGAGCATACAGCATACAAGAGTGTGTGAAACTTTTGCTTGGTGAACATCAGGAGTTTATTTATTATTCTTTTCACCCCCCTTCTTAATCTTAAGCTTTCTGAGAGTCCTTAGTGATTTGAAACACAGTAAGACATATGTGTGTGTGAAATGTGAATATTCAGCTTCATGAAACTTGGGAGTTGTTCGTTGGGCCAGTGAGGGTGCWTTATTGAAGCTGAAATACAGAAGCATTGCAAAAACAGAAGTCAAAATCAGGTGTGGTGTGACAGTTGCTTTTTTGGCCTTCAGTTTGCTGTTTCTGCCTCAGTAGTTAATGACAAATACAGCCTCTTGGAAGGGGGGGAGTCCTGCTGCTGCACAGCATTAGGTGCTTTTTGTCTAAGTTATGAAGCTCTCAGTGTGTGGAAGCTGTCCGGAATATTGTCTCAAATGCTGTTGTGCAGAGACTTTCCAGCCTTTTTTAATTCTTCTCCAGTTAGAAGATGCTGTGCATACTGGATGGATTTAGTGATACTCCAATCCTGACAGATTGCAGCCATTTCCAATTCAAGTGACAGTTGGAGTCTTGAACAAAAAATAACTTCTAGTCCTTGCAAATAAAAACTTTTGGCTGCTAAATGTAGGGGGTGAATAGATTGATATCCTATAAATCCCCTTCATAAGGATTTTGCATCTGAATCAATTACTTCTTTCAGTATTCCTTGTGTATTATTAAGACTAATAGAAGATTTCTTTTACAGCAAGAGCAAAGGAAGCCTCAGATATTAATAGGATGCATTAAATAGGCTGATCATTAAATTTATATATGAATATCAGGCAGCMGGCTGTGGGTGTGTGGTACCAGCTGTTTTGGTTGTCCTGCTGCTAAACCTTGTCAACATGGTATATTGTATATTTGCTATATCTTAAAAGTGCTACTCCTCAGAAGTGTGGGTCAACCAGAAGTTTGCATCTTTGATTCATCATGGCAGGGAGCTGCATGAAGGCAGGTGATTGTCGCATTCCCCTGCCCTAGCACAATGAAGGTTTTCTAAAATGCAACAGAATTTGGGATTCCTTGTCCTTTGAGTTTTTTCTTCTAGATGAGAAAGCTCCTACATAGGCATTCCCTGCTGCTTGCTTGCGCTGTGCAGCACTTCCACATACCTGTGCAGCCTGCTCTGAGGGCAGCCACAGTGAGTGTGCTGTGCTTATCACACACTGGTAAGCTCCAGCCRTGAACTGTTCACTGCCAGTGGGAGGGCAGGTAAGGGAAGGACATGCTGCTTCAAGTCTGTTTATTTAAACCAACCTTCCTCAAATGTTTTTACAGGGTTACATGCKTCTAATGAATTTGTGTCAGAGGAGAGGGTGGAGAGTGCTTCCCCTCTTSCCTTGTGGGGCAAGGGGAAGGGTCTCTGCTCTGGGGGTAGAGRCAGAGTGCTGTGGAGCTGAGAGGGGAGGGGGAAGTCTTGTGAAGCAGATAATATCTCACTTTTGTCCCTTCTGCTTTAACTCCAGACACAAGCTGAAGGCTGAGATGGTGTTCAGGTGGGACAGAAAGGGGAAGATGAAGAGTGTCTGTGGCTATAGGATATGCAAGGGAAAGATAGCAGTATGGAAACCTAGATAGTGAAGCTAAGCAGCGACTGAAGCCATCACTGAGGATTGGGATTTTGTGGGTTTTGTTTGGTATTTTACTTTTGTGTCGTTTTTCTCTTTGATTTTTTTGTTTGGGTTTTTGGTTTAGTTTGGTTTTGGGGTTTGTGTGTGTRTGTGACTTTTTTTTTGTGTCACGGAGTTGCCATTTTTCTGTAAGCCTAAGGGTTTTGATTGCAGTGACATGAGCATTCCCCCTGCCTCTGCCCCCGGAGGAGGGAAGGTGCCTGAAGGACGCAGAGGTTGTACTTTCTGTAGGCTGCTGTTGCACTGGTTAACTCACTATCAGATTGAGCTCATGCCATTGCTGCCTCAAAGCAGGAAGGATGTAGTTTGGAAGACCATTGCTGCCTCACTTTTCCTTCTCCCTCAAAGGGAATCATGAGTCTTTTTGCATAGGTTTTGGGTATAAAATTTCAGGGAGTCAGCTAGATAGGCAGGCTTATTTAAATGGTGGCTTGTCCCAGGCTTCTTGTTTGGTTTTGGGCCAAGGAATGTCTAAGGGCAGTGTTCAGAATATTCTCTGTATAAGTAACTGGCTTCCAAGTTGTGCCAGGTAAGCGTAGCTGGCAAACTGGTCTTGGAGTGCCTTCTGTGACCGCTTGATTTGATCTGAGATGCGTCTCTTGAACATKTCTTGCTTTTCTCCTGTGCCAGCCCTGTTTTCCTTGTTCACATAGTCAACTGGCTTTGATAACGTATAAAAGACTGCCGGTTCTGGTGGGAGAGGAGGAAAGGGAACTGGCAGATGGCACAGTCCCAGCTCTAGTGGCTCAGGCTGCTGTGGTAGCACTTGCTTGAGCAGCAGTTTAATGTTGTCATGAGCCTGTACAAAGCATTCTGCTGTCAAGAGGGTTGTTTCTGCCACCTCTCTTGCCCTGGGTCCTCACTGTGCTGTTGTGTTGGCACAGCTGTTTCTCATCTGAGTTAGATCAGATCTCTGGATGTGTTTCATGTGTGGATCAAAACTGGCTGTGCATGGTGGGTGTCCCTGAGCTGCCCAGTGCAGTCCCATGATGGGATGCCTGTTCCCGGGGCAGGGGACTCTGGCTGGGCTCCCAGCCCTGCCCGTGTACTGCACATAGGTGCTCTCTGTGCAGCATGAGCCACTGCTTGGGACACGAGGATGATGCTGCCTGAGAAGGACTGTGGGAGCACAGCTTAAYTTTTGCTGCTCTAATCACCTCTCTTGGTTGCAGTTTCACAACAATGCCAAAATACCCAGCCCAAGCCCCCATCACTGCAAAAGCCTGATTAGTTCATGATCACTGTGGCTTCCTGATCTCAAACTGCAGGGAGAGGAAATGCAAACCTGCAGTTGCGCTGGGATGGTTACTGAACAGAGAACTGTGTCTAGTTCTGAGAGCGTTGCCTGGGAAATTTTGTAGTGTCTTTTCTGTCTGGAATCTATGGGACAAATGTAGATTTTTTTCAGGGAGTGACTCTGTGTGTATTGACGGTAGAAGGATTTGAAATGCACCCCAATGCCATAGATTTGGAACTTGTATGTGATGTAATGAAACTGTAAAGTGATACTGGATTTAACCTAGTGATTCCCTAAGGCTCATCCAGTCCTGAACTCACTGCAAAAAAGGGGACTCTTCATTATCACTCAATGGCATTTTTCTAAAAGCTACCAGTATTGAGTAATGCCTTCTGCAGAAGTATCTTATGAATGTAAAAGAGGCTGAATTTTTGTCTTCTGAGGTGACTGAAGTTTTCCTGGAAGTTTCCTGTATCTATTTTTAACTGCTGTTGAGGGTGAAGAAGGGAACAAGGGATGAATTGCAGCCATTGCTTCTATGAGTAGAATACTTGTAGAACCATTTTCTTCTTATCTGAATATGTCATGTAAATGAGATCATCTCTCCTGCAGAAATGGTGCAAGCAGAAGTATGAGGTGAAGTCGCTTCTCAAATTTAAGTATCTGAAATGTGCTGATAGTCCTGAGCTGAAACTTGCTGAAATGTCTGTAATCGAGCTATGTTACAGCTTGTCCGTGTTAAAAACATACTAAGGTCGAGGAATAACTGTTGCCATCTTCTCCGGGTTGTCAAATGTATGAAATGGACATGTATCTTGAATTTACAAGGGCCTCAGTTTTGCTAACTCATATCATAGACATTTTGACTAATTGTCTTTTTTTCTTCCTTGCCCCCCAGGTGTTGTTTGGATTATAGCATAGAGGCACTATGTACTCAGAGTGGAGATCCTTGCATCTTGTCATTCAAAATGATCAGGGGAATACCAGTGTACTTCATAGCTATCCTGAGAATGTGGGGAGAGAAGTGGCAAATGCAGTGGTGCGTCCTCTTGGACAAGCTTTAATTACATCATCTGTTGGAAGTGAGAGTTTACTAAAAACAGACAAAGAAGTAAGTACCAAGGAATTTATCATTTAGCACAAAACCTTTCTAATTACCTTCAGTTTTGAAGCAACAGTATTGACTTCAAAAAAAAGTCTTTGTATCGTACAAATATTTAATGGAATTTGAAAATCTTTCACCAGCAGCTTTTATATGTTCTGAAGAGTTTTAAGTTTAGATTTAAGAGATTCAGGATTTAGAGAGTGATTTGCCATTTATTCATATTCTTCATAATATCATGAAATATATGTTGATATATGTTAAACAGAATTGCCCATACAACTTAACTACAATTTTTTTTTGTTTTGCTTTGGTTTTCTTTTAGAGTTAGAACTAATGTGCTCTGACCAGTACTTCCAAATGTTTATTTTTAATAACTTTTGCTTTGTGTTTGGTAGGTAAAATGGACTATGGAGGTAGTTTGTTACGGACTGACCCTCCCTTTGGACGGCGATACTGTGAAATATTGTGTGGATGTGTATACAGATTGGATTATGGCTCTTGTGTTACCTAAGGACTCCATTCCTTTACCTGTTATTAAGGAACCAAACCTTTATGTTCAAAGCATTCTCAAACATCTCCAAAATCTCTTTGTACCAAGGTGAGTGTTAGGGCTGGGATGCTCAGGAGGCTGAGGGATTCCAGGCTATAGTCAGCAGGTAATCTGTCAGAGGACTCGTGAGGCATGGAGGCTCTTGAGCAAAGGAAGACTGCTATTGCTGCAAGCTTRGGAGGAAGGTGTTTCTTCAAAAATTTTTCAGTAACAAACTGAGTTGTTGMTGCTGTATTTAGGTAAGTAGAATCACTGATGGTTTGTAGACTTGAATGTTTACTGTCCTAAGAGCTTCAGGATTTATCTCTGTTGGATGACTGGGGGGTAGGGGGAAAGACCATCAATCACTGTGTGACCATGTGCTTTTAGTTGTAARGTAAGAGCACATCATGGCAGTCCCAACTCATGTTATTCAACATTTGACCATATTTGTGATATATTAAAGGATCTTGCAGTAAGTGACTACTSTGTGCCTGCATCTTGCTGCCTGTTAAATGGATGTGGTTATGGCTGTCCTTCACTGGTAGTTTTGAAGGAATCCCGTGGTGGAGTGCTTGCTGCCTGACATCTTTGGATGATGGTGTTGAGATAGACATGTCTYTAGGTCTTGGACACAGCTACATTGTCAGAGTGCTYAAACATCCTTACCTTGTTTGTAGTTTATGACAAGTTTACCTGCTKCTGTTGGACATATGTACTGGATGAGTAAGGTTAAATAACAGTGCCCCCTGAAAAAGTACTTACACTGAACATTGATCTGAAGTTATGTCCGTGAATCAGATCATCTGCTTTTATTGGTATTAATAGTGTATCACTGCCRGTGGCCTTCAAAGTGCTCTGCTGCACTTTACTGAAGGCTTTGTTAGTACAGGACTTTGAATAATAACTTGTGCAAATTCTTTACTATTTATTGGTTGCTTCCAAGTCTACCACCTACCCTAGCAACTGTTGCTCTTAATGTGTAGTGAAAATGTATTTTAATTCCAATTATAGGATGGTCAAGGCAAGGACACAAGTCTGAGGAAAGCAAGCTTAAGGGTGAGACTGCTGCAAGAGGTTGTCTCTAAGTGCAGAATATAGTCTGYTGTCTGGGATCCTTTATTCCCTTGGCACAGCAGAGAAGGAATGCTTCACTAGTCCACTAAATAGTTGTTTCTGTGGTCCCTTGCTTGCTCATACCTGGGGGCACTAGTAGCAGGCAGCTCAGTAATGCATCTTCTTGCATGCTGTTGGCACAAGCTGCCACTTCACCTTTCTCTCCCAAAATCACTGTTGGACCTTGATGTAGGCTRGTAGACTAGACATGGTAGCTGTTGAATCAAATAATTAAGACCTAGAGACAGGGAGGGCTGAAAGATCATTATTTTAAACACTGTCCTCATGGTATAGCTGTGCTATAGTTTTTCTTCCAAGAGCCTCTGAGGCGTATCTGAAACACTGATTTTTTCACAGCTGCTTCTGTTAACACTTGACATTCAAGTTCCTACAATGTTTTTAAGTTTTGCCCTCCAGGGAGCTGTGGTCAGAATTCACTCCAGCAACAGAACAAGTTTCTGTGCTGCAAATGAAATGCAGAACTGAGCTGTGCACRCCTGCCTTGAATAAAAGCAAAGACTCAGTCTTATGTGTCTGTGGTGGGGAAGAGSAGAATAATGGCTGGGTTTACCCAASTGAYRSAGGTTGCTGATGGGCTCATGTYGAATRCTTATTCAGGAACTGTTAKAGCAACCCTACATTGAACTGTCTCCTGGAAAAATGTTTTTGAGCTGAAAATACTAAACCTTTRTTGTAAGCGTATGTCCTGTGGAAGGTTGCAGTTAAAATAACTTCCTTCCTCATCCTGCTGCCCTGGAAACGATGTAGCTGTTGGTTTGGCTGCCTTAAAAGTGGTGGCCCAGAGTTGCGAAGATTTTTGATCTGGAGGGGAATGTATAGGTGAGGTGTGAAATGCACCAGCCTGAAGGGCCCTTCAGTGTAAATGGCATCTCAGGAGCTTGTGTACACCCATACAGAGCAGGTGTATATAGATTATTTCAGCTAAGTGCTCAGCTGAATCAAWTGTTTACATGCTCAGTCCTTGAAATGGTGTGGTGCTGAAAAATGAAACTGTGAAAGCTGGGTGAGTCAAGTTACCTTTCCKCTCTCTGCCAGAGTGACAAGAGAGATGGTGTTTGTGGCTTTTCTTCCAGCACTGGCTTTCTGTCCACCCTGAAGAAACAAACTTGGTTGACGTATTTGAGCAGTCTCTAGGCAATTCCCAGGCTTTCCGTTTCTGGCAACCCTAGAATATCTAAGAGGTCTTGAAGATGTCTTAAGCAGTAGTGGTTGTTACTGCTGTCAGATAAAGTTTCAGTGCCACAAACACTGCTGGAAGGAAATATGAGAACTCTCCCCATGTCTTGCCTCCCCAGGAGAGTGAGGTACAGATAGCCGGGTCCTCTCTAACAAAAATGTTTGGAGTTGCTTGAGAGACCATGGAGCATATAACTGCCAAAATATTTTTTTTTAATAATTTCATATGCTTCTCATGTGAAATCATGGGGGCAGTATTTGTTGGAAAGGAGTGTGGCCAAAAGCTGTAGAAATCTAGAYATCTAGAAGTCTAGAAATAGTGCAAGCAAAGCTTGCCACTGGGTTAACTGTGTAAACAAGAGGAAGTCATAGATGGACAGGAATCTTTGAGTTGCCAGCAAGATTGGCTCAGAAGTATCCCCTTAGTTTGCACATAAGCCCTTTTTTTCTTTTTTTTTGTATAGTTTCTCTTAATGTTTAGGGAAATAAGTCTTGAAGCGGCCTTGGAAGCTTCAAGCCTATATTGGTTAAGGATATATTTTGAATTAGCCAGTCTGCTCTGTTGTTGGTCACGCAAAAAGTAGGGATCTAAGCAGGGCTCGCTTGTCCCAGAATTTTTTGTTCTACAGACATGCTTGGAGTTATAGTCTAGCACTAGCATCAGCCCACCCACTGAGGTCCTGAATTGTGGCTAGTAGTTTGCAGTTTTGCATTGGATGTTGTCTTGTTTCTTGTAATCTTGTTTCCAGTACTGTGATTGAACAATTATGCTATCAAGGTAAAAGATGATAGTGTTTAGTGGACCAGCACATTCTTGAGGTTCTTGCCACAAAACATAACTTGTGGGTTATAGCACATAGGAAGTGTTCGGTAGGAATCTGGTAATATTGCTTAGTAGTGCAGTGGAAGGTAATACTTTTAGGATTTTTTGTCATCTCTTCAGTGAGTGCTGYGAGGGATAATGAAATAATCCACGGGTTGAAATGTCATACATGTATTGCATACTCTAATTTGTAAGCTCCTCTTTCACCCTTTAAAATTTAGGCTTCATCAGGTTTTTTACCAGTRTCCTCAGATCCAGTTCAGAATGTATCACATTACTATTTTGTGCCTGTTCTGCCATGTCCAGATTAACTGATGGGAAGAGGKGATGCTGCTTTGTGCTGGTTCTTCATAACTTTGTGTTGAGTGATTCAGCAATGCTAGTATGGATCTGATTATTACTACATGGAAAACCTTGAAAATATGGAATTGTTTCCTTTCTTCCTTACTTCTAACTGCKTGGATTTACAGAAAAAGATCTGGAAGGAGTCTCTAAATAGGAATGTCAGACGGAAGGAAGAAGGGATAACAGTTGATTTGGAAACGAGGAGAACTAGGAAGAATTTAAATTCATTTGCTAACAATATGTTCTCCTAGTTTTGTCACTTCTAAATTATGTATGTAATAATTCATGATGTCTCAACGGGTTTGCCATTGTTTAATAGATAAATCTCTTTGAGATGATAGATTGTGCTTGCTCTCAGTGAGTGCTTACTGTATGGCATTGAGTCTGCGTTACATAGCCAAGAGTGTTGTGGTGCATCTTGTGCTCATTCAGGCAGAGTTAGGATGCCTRGAGACAGAGGTGACATGCACAGAAGCATATTGGCTCATGTTCTTGGGTCTCACTCARTAATATTTGTTTCCTTTTGTAACTGCTGGAAGTTAGTGTTATTGGATACATCACTTTATATTCTGTTTCTCAAGCACTGTTTTCTTCTCTTGCAGGCCAGACCCGGGATCCAGTCAGATCAGACTGTGCTTGCAGGTTTTGAAAGCTGTCCAGAAGCTGGCTCATGAATCGACAATTATGGCAAGAGAAACCTGGGAGGTTTTGTTATTATTTCTTCTTCAGATCAATGACACTCTTCTAGCAGCTCCTACTGTGCAAGGTTCATGTTCATCTTCCATTTGTTTCAATTACTGGAAAATCTTTCAGCTCTTCCTGATGTTCAGCTGCCAGCAGGATGGGTGAACCCATTAAAAGCTCTTGGGAGCTACTGAAGCACAATAGTTCACTCCTAAAAATTCTGCCTCATTATTCCAAAATAAAGCATTGCCAGAAAAGACTGAATGATTTGGACTTGAGTTTGCCTAAAAGTATTTTTGCAGGACAGTGGTTTTATAAAGAAACAGTTTCAGACAATGTTGTTCCCTGTTTGTTTCATTGAAAATCTTTTGTCTTGCTGCTCAGCCTGCCTAGTGCAAAATAGTAGTGTCAGTTTTACTACTTAAAAAAAAAAAAAAGATTTCAGTATAGACAGTGTAATAGAAGTTTCAGTGTAATAGAAGCTGCCTAAGATCAGTGAGTTCCTGCTGTCCCTTATTAAACACATGTGGCTGGGCTTTATCTACTCTATTTGGTCTTCCATAAAGGCTAACTGGCTGTAGGAAGCAATCAAGAATCACTCTTAAAAATGGTGAAAAAATAAGCTTCATCTTTATGCACTTTAACCAAAACCTCCTTGGGAAAATATTTGAAGTTATTTAGTTGGAACACTAACTGAAGATGTGCTTTATTTCTGTGGTAAGGTGGCATTGCTGAGAATCTGGCTGAGAAATTAATTGGCGTGCTGTTTGAGGTGTGGCTACTCGCTTGTACACGGTGCTTTCCAACRCCTCCTTACTGGAAAACTGCCAAAGAGATGGTGGCTAACTGGCGACATCATCCTGCAGTAGTTGAGCAGTGGAGCAAGGTCATCTGTGCCCTTACATCCAGGTAGGAGAAATCCCATGGAAATTAATGCATGTATGGGGATGATCATGGTTATACATGTTTTGGAGTTGCTTATTTGTGGAATGTGCAGCAATCAAAAGTGAATAAGCAATAGTGAGAGATCTTGCTGTATCTTTGGATTGTGTGTGTATTCYTTTGTTCTGCAAGGGAAGATCAGAGTTGGATCATCTCTTACTGTGTAAGCTCAACACCTCTCTGATATCTAGCACTTTGTTGTGTGTGTGTATTGTTCTCCATCAYGGTGACTTCATCACGTGCCCTGAGGAATGACTCAAGAATATTAGTATAGMGTATTAGTATACCTCTCAAAATTATTTGGTGCTTGTTAGTGCTCRTGCTGCTGCCTCTGAGGTGACTCTTGGACTCTGCTTCGATGCTGTGGAGCTGAAACTGTGTTACGGCTGCCTGGCAGCCGTGGCAGTCAGGATGCAATGGGCCAGAGGCTGGCCACATGCTCTCCTCTGCTCTAGAGARTAGGGGAGAAGAGCTGTACCAAGCTTTGCTGGTATGGGAACAATGAGGATCATTAAATGATAGAACTGTTTWMSKTKGRAAA